CCCCACACCAGTGCACCACCAGCCTGAGCCGTTGCTACAAGACAGGATGGATCTATGCTTTCATGTTGTTTACGCCAAATTCTGACTTGAGCATCCGAATGCTACAAGCATTGATGGAGGAATCCCACTCTTCGCTTTGGCTGATTTGGCTGAGCTCATTGGCTGCCACCTCAGTTCTTTCGAAGATTTTCCAACCAGCTGTTTTGATCAGCTGATCGAGGTATGCCAGCCAAAAGGGTACCTGCTGTGTAAAATTTGGATATTGTATGGTGAGTGTTAGTATAATCTGCAGTAGCCCTACCTTACTTTGGATCATTTAACCTATTCATGTTAGCAGGGGACAATTGTAAATCTATTGCTGCAGCGTAGTGGAGGTGTGTGCTGTTTATATGTACTACATATACAGTACACTATAGCAATAGATTTACAGCCAGCCTTGTCCCAGCTTCCCTCACTTACAGTTTCACTCCGATACCTGTTGCCTCACGCGGTGCATCTCATTGTCGGCGCTGGGCAGGATCGCTGCATCGCGTCTCGGTGCTCAGCTTGTGGGAGGTGCTCACAATTCTGCCCTGCTAACATGAATAGGTTAAATCATAATCCATAGTACATATACAGCACACACATCCAGTACACTGCAGTGATAGTTACAATTATCCCCTGCTAACATGAATAGGTTAAATCATGATCCATAGTACGTACCATGTAGTTGTACTATGGATCATTTAAGCTATTCATGTTAGCAGGTCAGAATTGTAAATCTATTGCTGCAGTGTATTCTATATGTACTGTACATGTACTACATATAGAATACACTACAGCAATAGATTTACAATTCTGCACTGCTAACATGAATAGGTTAAATGATCCATAGTACAACTACATATTATGTACTATGGATCATTTAACCCATTCATATTAGCAGGAAAGAATTGTAAATCTATTGCTGCAGTGTATTCTATATGTAGAACATGTACAGTACATATAGAATAGACTACAGCAATAGATTCTTGTTGTTCACACAAAACACTAAACTTTCCACTTGAGGCCAGGCCCTCACTTACAGGTGCCTGTTTGATCGAGGTGCCGAACGATTTTCCTCACACATGAGGACGTCGTTGGCGCTGAGCTGAAGAGGAGTGTCGCATCACTGCTGCTCCGGTGGGTGGCGCTCCAGGTGGGGTCCTCTAGGCAGTCGCCGGCCACCTAAATTAGGACCCCACCTGGAGCGCTGCCCACCTGACGCGACGCTCGGCAAGGCAAGTAAAGGAAAAAAAAACATAGCGCAAGCATCGGCGCTATGTATTGGGCATTTTGACAAGTACTTGCCCTGTATCAGTCCTGATACCGATGCTGGTATCGGGACATCCCTACTTCAAACCCCCCACATGTTTGCTTACCTATCTAAGCATGACAGCCTAGGCCTGTTCCCTCCCATTGAATTCTCACTGATTTTAATGGGGCCATACCAAGAGACAATAAACACTGGGAGAAAGGCCCTATTGAAATCTATGAGGATGCATTATGCAAGTGTGGTAAGTGGTGAAGAATATTCTAACTCAGAGACTGTATACAGCAAAAAAGCAGCAGATGTGATGGTGGCAAGTAGTGAATGGGAGGGGAGGAGGTAGAAGGGCTAGGGAGTGTAGACTACTGTACATTTGACTATAGGTGTTCTTGTCCTTTAAGCTTCTAGAGTTATGCATATAATCTATGTCGTGGGAATTGTTGACTTGTATTTATTCAATCAAAATTCCCAGGCTTGAGTCAGACTTGTTTTTGAATTGAGACTTCGAATTCTCATATCGAAACATTCATAGATGTTTGTGTTTCATGTTTTTTCAAGGACCCCGATAGAGTAGTGAGTCACTGTGAGTACTTGTAGTAATCCCTGCTTAAATGTTCTGTTCTGCCGAGCTGTACCCTGGCGTAGGTAATGTCAAAGGTGTTACAATGTGTTATGGTTATTGCTGTCGCTCTGGAAGGAATTTGATTAAAAAAAAAGCAGTGTTACCGTAGCAACCTGATTATTTTTAAGGAACATTGCTATTTATAACATATATTGAAATACTCAGATATATAACAGCATTTAGCTTTGCTTTGTCCAAACTCATTCTGTTCTGACTCTGATACATAAAAGAGCTGTACAGCATGCACATAGCACAGCAGTTTAGCACAGCAGTTTAGCACAGTGTGTGAATTCTTTATAGGATAGGTCATACATTTAGAAAGTAGACCCATTTGGTGCATGAAGTTATTTAGGACTACAGGGTTTCACAAACTTAGAAAAGGTTTGCCATGATTGCCACTAGACCTTGCATGCTGTAAAAAGCACTTTGAAGGAGTTGTTAAGTCCCAGCATATAGTATAACCTGTTATAACATCAGCATTGTCATAGGGATACATAATATAGTGTTTTTTTATAATGCAATCAAAGCTTACTTGAAAAAAAATCCTTTTATGTAGTGAGTGCTGCCTTCTGTCTGCCTTTCACTTTCATCAACTCCCTGGACTCCCAGTGTGCTTTGCATCTCTTTTCCTGCTGCTTGATGTGATACAATCTCGATTTCTCAAGGCTACATATCCCATCATGCATTGCTTCCAGAAGTAGGTAGACCGGAAAAAAGGTAGCCTGTATTCTTTTTCTAGAGTGCTACTTGGAACTGGAACAAGTAGGTAGACCTGCAAAAAGGTAGTCTGTATTCTTTTTCTACAGTACTGCTTGGAACTAGAAGAAGTAGGTAGACCCCAAGAAGCTTGACCTAAAAATAAATGCAAAAACGTGCAGCGCGGGTTTTCAAAACGTATAAGGGACAAAACCCGCTGAAATTTGCCCCAAAGTAGCTCATGTGCTATTTTGAGCAACAGGTGTATTTCTGCTTGCGACAAAACTCACAGGTGTAAACGGGGGCCATAGAAATGAATGGGATTCTTTGGGTGGAGCGTTTTGTCATGCTGAATCAGCTGCAACAATACGCCTAGGTGTGAATGGAGACTTGCAGTACTTAGATTCTGCAGACGGCAGTTGAATGTAATAACATTGGTGGGTGCAATAGCAAGCCTGCTATTGGCCATTTCAAATTGCAATAGCCCGATTAGTTGGTTGCAGCCCTCCTTATAATGCTGCTGGTGTTGTCCTTATTTATGTGTAGAGCATGTTGAAGATTTTTTATTCGAGTTGAAAGAACATCTGGGGGTGCCACATCCAATTTGAAAATAATTGTAACAAGATTATACAGATAGTGGACTTTTTAGGCACCTACTTGGACTACTAAGTTTCAGTGTTGTATTTCATTGTGAGGGGAATTTATCAAAACTGGAGCAGACAAAATCTGAAGCAGCTGTCCATGGCAACTAATCAACTTCTCTCTTTCATTTTAACAAACTGACGAGAGAAGCTGTATGGTTACCATGCACAGCTGCTCCAGATTTTGTCTCAGCTGGCTCTGCCTCTAGATAGGCAGAGCAAGCTGTCACTCACGCAGCTGGGCGGATCCAGACATAATTGTTGTGTTCCGCTTCAGCTGCGGCGTCTCAGTATACCGCGAGCTGTAGCTCGCGGTATACTGAGCTTAGGGTGACGGGAGGACGCTAGTTTGTTTCCTCCCATTACCCTAAGCAGAACTATGGGGAAAAGCCCTAACCCCATAGTTCTCTTTTTAAGTTTTGATAAATTCCTCTCATTGTCTGTCTTTTATTCAGTATACAAATATATTAAAACCATAAAGCACATAAACTAATAAAATATGGCTCCATTAAAAATAGGGCTGCGGAAATTAACGATTAATTTCTCGATTAATCGTTAATCTTTTTGATCGATTACATTTTTTTGATCGCTAATGAAAATACTCACCTCTCGGCGTTCGCTCACCTCTCGATCCTGTTACAACTCTCTGCCGTGACGGGGGAAGGACTGGATTCCCCTCTCCCCGCTCCGCTCCGCCAACGCTGACTGGCGGATCGGACGGGGGAGGGGGCGGGTACAGATGGCTCTGCCTCTGGATAGGCAGAGCCAGCTGACACTCACGCAGCTGGGCGGATTCAGACATAATTGTCGGGATCCGCTTCAGCTGCGGCGTCCCAGTATACTGAGCTTAGGGTGACGGGAGGACGCTAGTTTGTGTCCTCCCGTTACCCTAAGGAAAACTATGGGGAAAAGCCCTAACCCCATTGTTCTCCTTTTAATAACGTGCTGGATTAGTGTGATCCTAGTTCATTTTATTACTTCATTGCTGTGCAGTATGTGTATAGGCCAATGTAGTTGGAACGGTATGTGCGTTATAATTAATCTAAATTAATCGAACACGAAAATGTTAATTAGTAACAGCCCTAATTAAAAACAGTGTTGTCTCATTGAATCATCCCTTTCCTTCACACCTATGTATACACTATCTGTATAATGTTGTTACAATTATGTGTCTAGCATGAAGAGGTTATGAAGCAGAGGAATAAGTGCAGAGAGTAAGTTGTGCTTTTAGCAGTATCTGGAAATTAGGGTGCAAATGTGTAGTAAAGCCAGGTTGGAGAAATTGCTTGAAATGGTTTTGAGTAATTGGCAACCGTTGCAGAGACTTACAGTGAAGAGGCACAAGAAGTGAGGTAGGTGAGTTCAGTAGAACTTAAAATAGATTGGAATGGCGCCAGACTTTTTATTGGTGGGCCACAGAGGAAAGTCTTAATGTTGTGAAGCTATGATATAATGCCAGCATGCATTTGTGTTTCAGTTGCCTGAAGGAAGAGCTAATGCTAGGCGGAAGTTGATCTGTGATTTTTGTAATTCAAGTGAGTGAACAGAATCTAGTATTACCACTAAGCAACCAGCTTGGGTAGCTGGGTTTAGGGTGTTATTGACAGTATGTGTCTTATCGTCTCAGTCTGCTTCCTTTCCTGAAATAAATTACTAACTTCTGTTATATACTGTACATATTAGGGATTCACCAATAAATGATGAAGGTTACTTATGTTAAAGCCCATCTGAATGTTTGTTATCTTTCTACCAGGAATTGTGGTACTTGGAATCAATCGTCCACAGGCAAAAAATGCTATCAGTAAAGGTTTGGTCAAATCGGTAAGTTACAATTATATTATTTGTTTCTTTCTGTACGTTAGAAAATGCTAATACTCAAAAGTATTTGCAGGTACAACTGTTTCATAATCGGGCTGTGAAGAACATTACCAAGGGTTACACAATGCAGGAACACATTCAATAAACATCAGCATAGCAGTGATTAGGAGATACTGTCAGTGCTTCTCTTGTGCATAGTGTGTGTGCGTATATTTTTGTATATTGGTATTTTTTTCTCCAATTTTGGTGTATTTTAAATAAAAGTGTGATTAATTTATTATATTGGCTTGGAGTTTTTCAATTCAGATTATTTTAAATCCATGAAACTAATTAAAATGTCTAATATAGTACACACAATTATTACAAATTTTTTTTTATAACAGGTGGGAAAAAAAGTAATTTTCGGTTTCAGCCTGACAGATTCTGGTGCAGGAGGTGCAATGTGTTACCATTAATTTCAATGGCACTCAAACACTCCTCCCGCCCGTATTGGGATCACTCACACTGGAACATACGGTACCGCAATGCCGTGCATTCCAGTGCTTTGCAATTGCAAATTGTGCAATTATATTCTGAAGTAAATGTTATATTTGTAACACTCCATTTCTGTATTTTATTTTAAATAAAATGTCATTTAATTTTTTTATCTCCGATTAATCCCCCAAAAAATTGGTTAACTAATCGTTATGAAAATAATCGTTAGTTGCAGCTCTACCTACTATCCAATTTAAGATACTTATAAATCTGAATAATTTGTGAATGAAATTAAATTTTACATGGTAATAGAATGATAGGCAGGGTCAAGACACTATCTCCAACGTGTACATTCCTCTGCTAGTATCGATCTGTTTTTAGTGATGTTATTGTCTGATTCATGCATCCAACCTAATATGAAAATATGAAATATACTGCAACAGCATGGAAAAAACACGCCTTGAAAAACCCCTTTCTAATTGCCTGTGCAATAAATTGCTTTTCAGTTAGTTTGTATAACAACATATTGCATGGCCAGCTGTTTCTGACATGTGCACATTTTAGTATACTAATTTAAATAAGTAGTACATGCTCTTAGTGAATAAAATTGTTTAATGAATGGTTTTGACAAATGGCATATCACTGTCTCAAGCTTGTGAATGTATGTTTTCCAGATGATGAAGACAGTTGATTCATTGAAGGGCAATAACAAAGTGAGGACTGTAATCTTACGGAGTGAAGTCCCTGGAGTGTTTTGTGCAGGTATGTATTAAGGAAGGCAAACCATTCATTCTCTTGTGCTTTGTATCTATTGTTAACTAAATTAGTGCCTCTACACACGGTATTCAGGAATCCACTACTCTTCCTAAACCTAAGCTCCTCCAGCTGCTCTCCTGGTGTTGTGAAACAACTCCTATTGCCCCAGGTCACATAATGCATCCCAATACTTATTTCTTGGCATATCACTAGGTATCCATTCTACTTATATTATTATTATTATACAAGATTTATATATAGCGCCAAAAGTTTGTGCAGCGCTTTACAATATAAGGAAGACATTACAATCGCAATACAAATCAAGACAAGATGGTAAGGAGGGCACTGCCCGTGAGGGCTTACAATCTAAAAGGGAGGGGCAAGTGATACATGAGGAGGTATCTGTGTGGGGATGAATTCTTTGAGAAAGTCATAGTTCAGTGGTTAGGTTGAGGTGGGATAGGCTTCCCTGAAGAGATGAGTCTTAAGGGATTACCTAAAGGCAGTCCGTGTGGGAGCCAGACAGGTTGGGGTAGAGAGTTCCATAGGATGGGAGAGACTCTAGTGAAGTCCTGGAGGTGAGCATGGGAGTAGTTGACGAGGGAGCTGGAAAGCAGGAGGTCTTTTGATTTGTGCATAGTGTGTGTGCGTATATTTTTGTATATTGGTATTTTTTTCTCCAATTTTGGTGTATTTTAAATAAAAGTGTGATTAATTTATTATATTGGCTTGGAGTTTTTCAATTCAGATTATTTTAAATCCATGAAACTAATTAAAATGTCTAATATAGTACACACAATTATTACAAATTTTTTTTTATAACAGGTGGGAAAAAAAGTAATTTTCGGTTTCAGCCTGACAGATTCTGGTGCAGGAGGTGCAATGTGTTACCATTAATTTCAATGGCACTCAAACACTCCTCCCGCCCGTATTGGGATCACTCACACTGGAACATACGGTACCGCAATGCCGTGCATTCCAGTGCTTTGCAATTGCAAATTGTGCAATTATATTCTGAAGTAAATGTTATATTTGTAACACTCCATTTCTGTATTTTATTTTAAATAAAATGTCATTTAATTTTTTTATCTCCGATTAATCCCCCAAAAAATTGGTTAACTAATCGTTATGAAAATAATCGTTAGTTGCAGCTCTACCTACTATCCAATTTAAGATACTTATAAATCTGAATAATTTGTGAATGAAATTAAATTTTACATGGTAATAGAATGATAGGCAGGGTCAAGACACTATCTCCAACGTGTACATTCCTCTGCTAGTATCGATCTGTTTTTAGTGATGTTATTGTCTGATTCATGCATCCAACCTAATATGAAAATATGAAATATACTGCAACAGCATGGAAAAAACACGCCTTGAAAAACCCCTTTCTAATTGCCTGTGCAATAAATTGCTTTTCAGTTAGTTTGTATAACAACATATTGCATGGCCAGCTGTTTCTGACATGTGCACATTTTAGTATACTAATTTAAATAAGTAGTACATGCTCTTAGTGAATAAAATTGTTTAATGAATGGTTTTGACAAATGGCATATCACTGTCTCAAGCTTGTGAATGTATGTTTTCCAGATGATGAAGACAGTTGATTCATTGAAGGGCAATAACAAAGTGAGGACTGTAATCTTACGGAGTGAAGTCCCTGGAGTGTTTTGTGCAGGTATGTATTAAGGAAGGCAAACCATTCATTCTCTTGTGCTTTGTATCTATTGTTAACTAAATTAGTGCCTCTACACACGGTATTCAGGAATCCACTACTCTTCCTAAACCTAAGCTCCTCCAGCTGCTCTCCTGGTGTTGTGAAACAACTCCTATTGCCCCAGGTCACATAATGCATCCCAATACTTATTTCTTGGCATATCACTAGGTATCCATTCTACTTATATTATTATTATTATACAAGATTTATATATAGCGCCAAAAGTTTGTGCAGCGCTTTACAATATAAGGAAGACATTACAATCGCAATACAAATCAAGACAAGATGGTAAGGAGGGCACTGCCCGTGAGGGCTTACAATCTAAAAGGGAGGGGCAAGTGATACATGAGGAGGTAGCTGTGTGGGGATGAATTCTTTGAGAAAGTCATAGTTCAGTGGTTAGGTTGAGGTGGGATAGGCTTCCCTGAAGAGATGAGTCTTAAGGGATTACCTAAAGGCAGTCCGTGTGGGAGCCAGACAGGTTGGGGTAGAGAGTTCCATAGGATGGGAGAGACTCTAGTGAAGTCCTGGAGGTGAGCATGGGAGTAGTTGACGAGGGAGCTGGAAAGCAGGAGGTCTTTTGAAGAGCGGAGGGGACGGTTAGGGTGATACTCTGAGACCAGGTTTGAGATATATCCGGGGGCAGAGTTGTGGATGGCTTTGTAAGTGATTGTTAATATTATGAATTTTATCCTTTGGGCTATTGGAAGCCAGTGTAGGGATTGACAGAGGAGTGTGGGAAATGGAAGCCAGTGGAGGGATTGACAGAGGGGGGTTGCAGACACTGTTGGTTAGGTGAATGAGTCTAGCAGCTGCATTCATGATAGACTGAAGGGACGATAGCCTATGTAGAGGTAAGCTAATGAGGAGGGAGTTGCAATAGTCAAGACGAGATATAACAAGTGAGTGGATGAGTAATTTTGCAGTTTCATTGGTGAGGAAGGGGCATATTTTGGAGATGTTACGAAGGTGAAGGTGGCAGGATTTGGATAGTGATTGGATGTGGGGAAGAAAGGTGAGGTCCAAGTCAAGGATGACACCTAGCACCTTGGCATGTGGGGAGGGCTGGATAGTTGTGTTTAGGGCTGCAGCTACCGATTATTTTCATAATCGATTAGTTAGCCGATTATTAAGTTCGATTAATCGGATATAAAAAAAAAGGCTCCAGTGATGGACTACTAGTTTCTATTGAGATTGTAGTCCATCACGAGAGCAAGCTTGGCGTGGTGGAAGTAAAAAAAAGAGTGTGGTGTACAATATAGTACATTATACAGCGGTGCAGTGCAGAATACCAGCAGCTATAGAGGAATGTAGCAATAGTACATTATACTATAATGTACTATTGCTGGGATTTGTAGTCCTCTGTAGCTGGGGTTATTCGGCATTGCGCTGTATATAATGTATTATTGCTGGGATTTGTAGTCCTCTATAGCTCGTGGCATTCTGCAGTGCGCTGTATAATGATTATACGGCGACATGCAGAATACCAGCAGCTATATAGGAATACAACAAATGCCAGCAATAGTACAACATTATACTATAATGTACTATTGCTGGGATTTATAGTCCTCTATAGCTGGTGGTATTCTCCATTGCGCTGTATAATGATTATACTGCGCAATGCAGATTACCACTGACCAGTTATAGAGGAACTACAAAACCCAGCAATAATATATTATACAGCGCGATGGAGAATACCACCAGCTATAGAGGAACAACAAATCCCAGCAATAATACATTATACAGGCTGTTTAATGTATTATTGCTGGGATTTGGTGTTCCTCTATAGCTGCTGGTGTTCTGCAGTGTGTCGCTGTATTATACAATGCAGAACACCATGCACAATACAATACAATGCAGAACACCATGCACAATACAATACAATACAATACAATGCAGAAAACCAATGTATAATAAAACGGCACACTGCAGAACACCAGGAGCTATAGAGGAACAACAAATCCCAACAATAATACATTATACAGGCTGTTTAATGTATTATTGCAGGGATTTGGTGTTCCTCTATAGCTGCTAATGTTCTGCAGTGTGCTGCTTTAAAAAAAAAAAACAACACACAGGAAATATTTAAAAAGCTCCCGGCCGATCTCGACTTACCTTGAATGACGGTGTTGTCGGCGGGCAGCGGCGAGCCGGGGGGGGAGGGCCAGACGCATGTCCTCAGCGTGGGCATGGCGTAAGCGGCGTCGCGTGAGCGGGTATACCAGCGTAGGCGCGAGCGGCTCAACCGACGTAGGCGTGAGCGGCGTGCGGGTATACCAGCGTAGGCGCGAGCGGCTTTACCGACGTGGGCGTGGCGTAAGCAGCGGCGAGCTGGAAATTTGAATTTTAGCCGAGGAATCGATTTTAATCGACTTAATCGAATAATTGTTGCAGCTCTAGTTGTGTTAACAACCTCAAGGGAAACGTTGGGGGAGGGTGCACGGGCAGGAGGAAATATCATGAGCTCTGTTTTTGAAAGGTTGAGTTTTAAGAAGTGTTGCGACATCCAGACTGATATGTCAGTTAGTAGATTAGGGACACGCAAGGACACTGAGGGGGTGAGTTGCTGAGTAGAAAGGAAGATTTGAGTGTCACCGGCATAAAGATGGTATTGGAAGCCATGTGAGGTTATTAACTGACCAAGGGAGGAGGTGTAGATAGAGAAGAGAAGGGGTCCAAGGACAGAGCCTTGGGGGACCCCTACAAGAGGATGAGGAGGGGAGGAGTTAAATTTGTAGGTCACACTAAAGGAGTGCTTAGATAGGTAGGAGGAGAATCACGAGAGAGCAGAGTATTGTAGACCAAGCAAGTGGAGTTTTTTGAGGAGGAGCAGGTGGTCAACAGTGTCAAAAGCAGCAGAAAGGTCTAATATTAAGAGTAAGGAGTAGTGACCATTGTTCTTAGCTGTTTATAAGTCATTAGGGAGTTTTAGGAGGGCGGTTTCAGTGGAGTGTAGGGGGCGAAAGCCGGACTGTAAGGGATCAAGGAGGTTGTTATCAGCAAGGTGGCGGCTCAGGCGGCTGTAGATAAGGCGTTATATGAGTTTGGAGGTGAATGGGAGTAAGGAGATTGGTCTGAGATTGTTGAGGTCGGTAGGATCCATTGATGGTTTTTTGGGTATTGGGGTGACCAGGGCATGCTTTAGAGGGGAGGGAAATATAGAGGAGTTCGTTGTGTGCATAGCAATTCATACATATTGCAGGATTTACTGATCATCCTGAGATCTAGGACAGATTGGTAAATCCCAAAAGTTTTAGAAACCTTAGCATGTCAGCATATTCTGCAGCAG